AATCATCCCAGAAGAGTTTGTAAATGCAATATGAATACTTTTAAAAAATTCCTCAACTGCCTTCAAAAGATGACAACCTTTTGATACATTCTGCCACCCTTAACTTCATTTTCTGCTTTAGCCTGTGACATGGTAGTCCTGGGATAAATTGATCAACTGAACACTGCCCCCTCCCTGCAAGCTTTGTAGAACTTCTAATGAAAAGACAACAACCAAACACTGTGAATCCATTCCTAAAAGATGACATCATCTCCAGTGGCTTCACTATCACACTCTTCCCCGGCATCTCTCATCTAGACTAAGGGATGGAAAACGTTTGCCATAAAGCTTCACACAGTAAATATTTAAGCCCTATGGGCCACAGGCCTCCTTGCAGACACTCAGCTTTGCCATGGCAACGTGACAGCAGCCAGGACAGCAGTCACAGACAATATGTAACAAATAAGTGTAGCTGTGTTTCAATAAAACTATTTATGAACACTGAATTTGAATCTCGCATAAATTTCATGGGCCATGAAATACTACTCTTATTTATTTTCCAACCAATCAAGAATTTTAAAACCATTCTTAACAGGCAACTGCCAAACTAGTCCACAGGCCACAGTTTGCTGATTTCTGCTCTATCATGATTAATACAGGCAAAGATTCACCAAACACATGTGAATGCATATGGTCCTTGTTCCTTGGTAACACTCCCTTATCAACCATGAGAGTCATGACCTACAAATAGTTCTTCAGTCCACAGAAAACCAACTTATAACCTTTGGAGAAGAGGTAGGAGAGATGACTCAGGGGTTAAGAGCATTGACTACTCTTGCAGAGGACCCCAGTTCTGTTCCCAGGACCCACTGAAACCACAGTTTCAGTTCCAGGAAATCTGATGCCCTCCGCTGGCCTCTGTGAGTCTGCACACATGTGCTACAGTTGCATACATGCAGGCAAAACACTCATACACATAAAATAAAAATAAATAAATCAAAAAATTAACTGAAAAACATTTGAAGAAAATATATGCAATAAAACGGACATCACACTAAAAAAGTGACATTTTACTATATTAGTCCCAAATAGTAGGAATTACATAATTTGTTTCTAGTTAACCAAGTGTTCAAATAAGACTATATACATGAGAGCCATAAGAAAATGGTAAACTTGCTTTGCATTAACGATGAGTCCATTGACACTTTTCTCAGTGTTGATTTATACATCCAAATGTTTCCAACTATCCGATTTTAGATTAGGATTTGTAGACTCTCATCTCAGTCACCACTGTCCACAACCATAAATGATTGACACATAAACCCACAACAGGTTTTGGGGCTGGAGAGATGGCTTAGTAGTTAAGAGCACTGTCTGGTGTTTCAGAGGACCCAGTTTCAATTCCCAGCGCCCACATGGTGGCTAACAACTGGCCATAACTCCAGTTCCAGGGGCTCCAATTCCCTCTTCTGATCTCTGTGGGCACTGCATGCCCTGGTTGCACCTACACACATGCAAGCAAAACACTCATACACACAAAATAAAAATAATAAAATATTTGTTTACAAAAACCATAACAAGTTTTGCATTTCCTTTCTCTAACCCAATATACACACCTACATATTTTAAATTCCCTTCTTCACATGCAAGTTCAGTTAGTATTGTCCCAACTATGACAGCTTTGCAGACAAGCCAAGCACACACTTCTTGGTTTGCTCACTTTAATTTTTATTATATACTTTTTTACTCAAATAGACTCTTCTGTTTCTGCTCTTTTCTTTTTTAATATTTTATTATTTTTATTCCATTATGTGTATGAGTGTATTGCCTGCATGTATGTAAGTGCACCCATGTTGTGCACTGCCCACAGAGTCAGACAAGAGCATCAAATTCCCTGGAACTGGAGTTACAGGTGGTCATTAGCCACCATGTGGGTGCTGGGAACTGAACCTGGGTCTTCTGCAAGAGGTGCTTTTAACCACTGACTGAGCCATCTCTCCAGCCCCTTCTTTTTTTAAAAAAAAAATTTGTGCATATGTATGTGGTATATACATGTGTGTGTGCATGCATGTAGAAGTCAGAGGTTGATGCTGTGTCTTCCTGGACCACTCTCCACTTTATTTCATGGGACAGGGTCTCTCACTGAATCAAGAGCTCATGGATTTGGCTAGATTGGCTGGCCAGGGAACTGCAGAGATACCCCAGCACTGAGGTCCAGATGCTTGCTGCCATGCCACACTTTTTACATGGGTGCTGGGGATCTAAACTCAGGTCTCCCTGTTTGCACAATAGGTGCTTTACCAACTGAGCCATCTCCCCAAGCTCTCCTGCTTCCTATTCTATTTCCAATCCAAGGGCTTCTCATTTCTCTAGCTGTCTGTACGCCTGGTCACTTGAATCATGCATCTATTTGAACTTTGTTTCTCAGCTGAACTTCTTGTGCTTCCATATGAAAGATCCTGGCATCATATCACCAATTCTTGTGCACAGGAGTTCACTGTGCCATTCCTTCCTTTCTTGCATGTACTTGGAAATGTCCATGAAAAAAGGTTTATAAAATAGAGCACACCTTCCAGTAGTCTAGATTTGGTCACAAGAGGAATTTATGATGGGGAGGAAAGGAAATTTCTGTGACACCTCTGTGTGCCTTTGATCAAGTTACTCCTCTGTCTAGCCTTCCCTCCCTATTCTCTGCCTGGTAAAATGTCCCTCAACCTCTGATGTCCAGGATTGATAACTGTCTCCTCTGCATTCCCAAAGCACTTCACACCATCTCTGTTAAAACATTTATCATTGTGCTGCAGTTATGTTTACTCAGATACCCCACCACCCAGTCCCCAGCCCCTCAAGCCAATAAGCAATTCTCATTTTCGTTGCATCCCAGTGTCTAGTGCTTGGAAGAGGGTATTAACACTGCATCTCTCAGACACATTAAGGGCAGTGTCCCCATGAAGGAGGGATGACAAGGGGCTTCTCAGCCAATTTCCATCTACACTCTCAACCTTCATTCTCTCTTAAAAAATAGACTACATAAAAAATGCAACTTCAAAATATGCCTCCCCACCCTCTTGCAATGAGACAGGCCCTCCTAAACTGTTCTCCATAGGAATTCTGGCATCAAGGCCGCAGAACAGGAAAGGGGGTCCGTCTTCGCGCTATGAAATACAATGCTTGCACAGCACTGCCCAGCTTTCAAAGCCCCTGCATCTTGTTCCCCCTCTTCCATTTGTCCTCTCATCCCTGGGAGGTAAGCTTGAGACAGTCCTATCCTCATTTTTCAAACACTCTGGAAGGAATAGTGACAAGCCCAAGATAAGAACTGGTGACAGCTCTAGGCCTAAAATCCTCAACTTATTGATCTGTCCACTCACCTATGCTTCACTAACGCTAGACTTAGCATGAGTAGATTTTTTTATCCTAGTAGATTTTCCCCATTGTGAATGGCGGTATTAAATTGTAGCGCCATGCTCTGAAAATCCAATCCAGATGCAATCATTTAGGCAAATATACATTATGAAAAGACATCACATATACCCCACTCCTGTTAGTACCGGTCTATGACTTTACCATAAGCACTTATTGACTAAAGGGTTTCCAATGAATTACTGACTGTTCAAAAATGATATGCTATGCATTTCTGCAAAGTATGCTATTTACCATCTAAAATTATCACTCATGGAGAAGCACTACTATTTATAGGTTAAGTGCAAGCTCTTGATTGTCTCTTGTTTTATAATTCACTTTTCCTAAAGTATTAAATTGAGATTACTTATCACATTAGCAGGCTCTCCTCTTAAATATGCCCTTAGTTCCTCTACATAATTCTGTTTGACTTAACCATCACTTGGATTGTCTTACTAGTTACTGTATGTAATTCTTCTAATATTAGTACACATCATTTCAGGCATAAGTAGGGCAATGCCTGCCAAAAAAGAATCTTGCTACTGTGTGGCTAATTGAAAGTCAAGATTATTTCTCATATGAAGTTATTCAAATGAGTTACATTTAGCTTTTCTCAAATTACTTAATATTTTTCATCCACAGTCTATAATAGAAGAATATGCATCACATGACACACTTAAGATTCTCAAGTTTGATCTGGTTATGACTCTGTTAATTGAAAATTGCTCAATATGGCAGAGCACAAAATATTTCACACAAATGCAAACGAGATGTCATGCAGATAGCTGCAAGATGTGAATCATTGCCTTCTGCACCAAACTCGAGGCAGTTCACCTTGCAAAATTCTTGCATGTTTCTTTTAAAGTTCAGATGCATCGCCTTTTTCCTCAGGGTAATAAACTATAATTACTAACATACTGTGTAATGTTTACTATTAAATTTTCAGTCTGGACAAACAGAAAATTATGCTGTCAGAGCCTGGAAACAACTGCAATCAGTTGCCCCACACAGCATCTTTCTGGGGGAGCTGTGGAGAGTTAACTCGCTCTATGGTTTAAATTCATTTTTTTGAGTAAGGGTCTTTTCTAGAGAAGCAGAAATTGAGTCGAAAGCAGCCTCTGCGTGACCATCTTAACAGACCTTGAGCGAGCAACCAAGGGGAGTAGAGAGCTGGGAATTTCAGCAACGGACCTGACAGCTCCACTGCATCCCTCACACTTTGTTTTCAGGAACAACAACAACAAAAAGGTTACTCTGCACCTGCCTGAACCCCCGCCCCTCCTCGAAACTTAGATGACATTCACCCCTGACTGTCTGGGTACCCGGAAGTTGGCACAGATGCATTCTCCCTGCACCGTGATGGGGAGAGAAAATAACCCCCGACCCAGGAGCGGAGCGCGGAGTCGCGGCGGGGCGGAGGGGGCTGGGGACTGGCTGGCGCCCCGCGCCCCGCCGCGCTGCGTTCTCCCCGCCACGTGGAACGCTCTCCCGCAGGTGGCACCCCACGAGCCGCGGGGCCCGGGTAGCTCTCAGCAGGGCGCGTCCCGGCCCCTTCCCCAGCTCAGGGACCTCGGCCTGCCGTGGTGTGGCGCCCCGGTCGTCACCCCGACCCCGGGTACCTCTTATCCAGGCAGGCGATCCACTCGGCGGAGGAGGAAGCATGGGCGACGTGCGCAGCGACCATGTTGGGCAGCGGCGCGGCGGCCCCGGCTGCGGCCACCTCCTGCGCTCCCGCCGCCCGCGCCCG